AAGTTCCAGGTTGATCACCCCCTCCCTGGTACCCCCCTCTTGTGAAGCGGAAGTTCAATTGAGTGAGCCCCCTTTCCTGTTTCTGCAGTACTCCGAGCAAGCGAGGCGGCTGTCTGTCTGTATGTTTTTTTCCTGTGCAAAAGGGCCGCCTGTACAGAGCAGGAGGTGATTCTGTATTGGGACGTGCAGACGTCCACATACATGCACAAAACTTTTTTATCAGGCCAACCCCAGTTTTTGTTCTGCGGCCAAGTGGGCTTGCAGGTCCTGGTACTTTAAGGTTAAATAAGGTGCACAAGGGAACACAAAACATTGCCCACTGTAGGTTGATGTTATGTCTTCCCTTCTTCCTTTCCACAAACCCCCTTGGACGTACTACTCATTTGCTTTGCAAATTGTCTACCTTACCCCCCCCCCTTGTGGCACACACTAGCCATCAACACAGATTCTTTTTCTACCCTGTTCTTCCACCGCCATGCTAGACATGACTGCACACCGTGACCCCTGCTTTCCCCCCTTGCTTCTTTCCCTTTTGGATGGATATGGATCTCTCTGAGACTCTCGTTATAGTTTCCTTGAATAATGCGCTCGTACGCGCACAACTTTCCTGACTTGGAATGACAATGGGTATTCTGTTAATGCTCTGTCGTGCTGGTCAGCGATTGCTCTTGTTCTTTGCAGGTTGATGTATCGAGGAGAAGGAAAACAGCTTGTTTGCTGAGAGGAACGGCGCTCGATGACCAGGCATGTGATCGTTTTGAATAAAGACTGTGGAGTTTGATTCTGTATCAGGAGACGTGTAAGAGGAAGGACGCTCGATGCGCTATCTATCTTTAAGCATGGAGGTGCCATGAGTTATGATCCTGACCTCTAAGAAGACAACGTGGATGAAGTACTAGAAAGGGGCATTCATTCCCTCACTCCCCTTCTTCTCTTCCCTCCCTCTCTTCCCCCACTTTCCCCCCTGCCCTCCAATCTCTCACTGAAATGGGGTGGTGTTTAACAGGAAGTCCCCACAACGTTAACATTCTACAGTACTCGGGACCGTTGCGTTGGCTTCTAAAGTCTCGTCAGCAGTGGGGGGATGGTAATATGGACGTCCTCCCTTCCCCGGTAGTAGCGCCAACGACTAGCAGTTGCTTGACAGCAGGATGTAGACTGGAATTCTTGCCCTTACCGCCTTGATAATGATGGCCTTGATGCCGATAACGCTGGCAGAATCCTGATGAAGATGACGATGGCGGCAGTGACGACTACGACAGTACAATGCGCACTTGATTGACCTGACCCCCCTGTGACTGACGTCTTAACAACCTCGGTGACGTCTACGTGTCTGCCGCTCCCTTGCAGCTCTCGTCCACAGCGTCCTTTTCCTGCCGCTTCTTTGTGGTTAGTTTGAGATCCTCTGACGGGATTCCTCAGTGCTGATCACCGCGCAAGTCTTTGGCCTTTGGCGCACCGTTTGTTTCCACCTTTGGTCTCCTTTGTTGATTCCTGTCATAGTCCTGAGGAAGGCGTGTTCCGACCGATTTTGTTTGCATGTTTTCTCGTCACCGGGCCGAAGACTTGTTGGCATTCCATAGTGAATGCTTTCGGTGTTGCAATCCGGGCAAAATTAGAATCAGGACGAGAAGAGTGCGTGTGGAAGAAGAGCGAAGGAAAAGAAACGGTGCTTTCCGGAAGCCGTTCTGTGGCATGGAAGATGCTGCTGACTTCCCGGGGCGGGGGGGAACAATGGCAGCGGAAGAAATCCGGATTTGTATGCAGCGAACGCACCCAAGCCCGCAAGCGCTTGTTGAAGACAATGCGGTTGCTGAAACCCGAGGTGCAGCACGCCCTGCCGCCGGTGCTAAAAAAAAAGCCGCTGGCGATGCCGAGGCGCCCGTGACCGGCAAGCCAGTGATCCTGGCTTTGCCTCCACCGGTTGCTGAGGCGGCTGCAGCAACGGCAACTGATGCGGCGGTGGCAAACACACCAGCACGTCCTGGCGCGAACGACGCTGAGCACGTGGAACGAGCGACGGTCGTCGCCGATCAGCGAGACAGGAAACGGTCCCCTTTCACACGGAGCTCCAACTGGTCGCATGATGCAACCTTGGCACTCGTCCGCGCAAAGCAGGACGAGTCGAATGAACTTCATGACCCATCGGTTCCGACACAGCGGTTGAAGTCCAAGTGGGCTGCAATTTCTGAGAAAATGGCATCATGGGGGGAAGTCAGGGATGCATCCGCATGCAAAAAGCGGTGGAACAATTTGATTGTCCGCTATCGCAAGATTGTCGATCATCAAAAACAACCTGGCCAACCAAGTTTTTGGGAGCTGACACCGGAGCAGAGGAAGGGAGTGGGTATACTGGGCCATGTGGAGCGGGACGTGTTCGATGCCATGGATGCTCTGCTTGTGGGTAAACAGAATAGCAATCATGCCAACAATAATGACAACATCAAACCAAGCTGTCTATTCCCCAGCAATGGTCTTCCACAATTGCCGGCCCCACCCAGTGACACGAATGGCTTGGAGCAGCAGCATGAGGAGGAGGTACAGGAGCAAGACAAAGAGCCGCAACAGGAGCAGCAGGACGAACAGCAGGAGGAGCAGCAGCAGCAGGAGGAGGATCAGAAGGAAGATACACCGGCTCAGCAGCTGTTGCTGCTAGAGGCACCACCGATGCAGGCACTGCCAGAGCATCGACGACAGCCTCAACCAGGGGAGTCGTCATCAACGATTGGTAGCGGCGGAGACCCGCCAGAACAGCTGCCATTAGCTGGGCTGGAACGCCGGGACAGGGTGCGGCTGCCTTTCGTCCGCAGCTCTAACTGGTCCCATGACGCAACCATGGCCTTGGTCCGAGCCAAGCGAGAAGAGGCAGGTGAACTGCAGGATGCATCGCGTGCGCAGCCGTTGAAATCCTCTGCAGAGAAGTGGGGTGCTATCGCAGCAAAGATGGCAGCTTGGGGTGTTGTCAGGGATGCAACGGTGTGCAAGAAGCGTTGGAACAATCTCATTGCGCGATATCGCAAGATTGTCGACCATCAGAAAAGGGCCGACCAGCCGAGCTTCTGGGATCTCACGGCAGAGCAACGAAAGAGTGTCGGCGCCTTGGGTCATCTTGACCGCGATGTCTTTGAGGCACTCGACTCCTTCATTGGGCCCAAGGAGAATGGGAACGCCAACCATGCTGCTAACAGAAATGGCATGGTGGTGGAAGAGTCCCGCTTACAGCATCCTCTTGAAGGCACACCGCAAGCTGTGGACTCGGATGCGACCAGGAGCAGCGATGAAGAGGACGAGGACGCCACCAGGCCAACCACGCCAGGGAGCACAAGCAAGCGATCTGCGGAGCCGACGAGCAGCGACCGGTCGAAGCGCCGGCAGACGGTTCCTGGTGCAATTGTCGACCTCACTGGGGCAATTCGCGAAGGGGGTGAGGCTTTCGCGACAGCGTACGCAGGTGCAGCGGACCGCCAGGCAGCGCTGTTGGACAAACAGGCGGAGCTGCTGAGAGAGACAGGGAGGGAGCAGTCCGACGTCATGAGGGAGATGAATCAGGTACTTGACAATGGGAATAGAATGCTTGTTGGTGCCTTGGCTGGCATTGCCGAGGCGTTAAATGCTGTTGCTCGATCGATAGGAAGCGGGAAGAACATGCAGTAACCTGTGGGTGAAAGGTATGCGAATGTAACCGTTTGTCATGCCGACGATCCGACACCCGGACATGGAACCTGACCGTCTGCAGTCCGGTGTCCGCATTCTGGTCCCCCTTCAGGAAAAGAAAGTAAAAAAGTAAGCGGGAAGAGCGTGTGGGGTAACCTGTGTCCTGTGTTGATGTGTCTCAAGATGCGCACTTATGAACAGCTTTTGTGTGCATGGAGAAGCTACATCGTTCTGCCCCGTCCAAGTCCCCCCTTCCCATGGCGCTCCATGGCGCTCCATGGCTGTCCTGAAGGTGGGATTTTGCTATGGGGTGCCTTCACATGCTTCAGATGACCCCCTCCTTATTCCATGCCCTTGCATTTTGTACCCCTTTTTATACGCACGTAGTAGTACGGACTCCAGGGAGGTTTCTTAGCAACTGGCCCCGTTCACCCCACCACCCTTTGCATACATTGTCTCCCCTAGAGGAGGGGGCCTTCCTGCTTAAGCTACTTTTGCCTCTTTTGCCTCTCTGAAAGGCCAGGCTTGCACTTTTACTCTTAGAGTGTGTCAGCATTTCTAGTCAGAAATTTTGAGGATTTTTGAAGAGCATGGCAGACAGATGGATATTTCGGTGGCCAGGTTGGAGGCAAGTGGGTCGTCTTGTGGACAAAGGTGAGGGCTAGGATGTTGTATTTTGCTGCGGCTTGTGAATGAAGTATCTGGTTTTTTATTGTGTAAAGTATACTTGCTGAAATGCGTTCTGGCTTCTTGCCCACTTGGACGCGTGGATCTGCATATGATTGTTTGTCTGAGGTGGGTGTCGATGGCCTTTTTTTGACTCCCTATTTATTTCCAGGAAGGAAGAGTCAGGGTCATGACATGGTCCTGCACCAAAGGGACACTATACGGACATTACACAGATGGATGGATTGAGAGGTACGGTCGGTTCTAATGCAAGTACACACACAGCGGGCTCGGTCTGTGTGTGTGTGTGTGTGTGTGTGTGTGTGTGTGTGTGTGTGTGTGTGTGTGTGTGTGTGTGTGTTGCTGAGGCTGAGAAGAGAGGATGTAGAGACCTTCCTTTTAGAGAGGCGATTCCCCAAGGAGTAGTACCTTTTGGACGTCAAATAGGCTGGTCGTCCAATTTGTACAGTAGGCCCCAGACTTGCATGAAAGAGAGCCCCCCCAGAAGTTACAAACACAATCATTATATTAATGCCTCGACTGGTGTCATTCAAAGAGGGCGGAGGACTCGCAAGATGGGGGGGAAGACTGTAGAGCCAATTTGTGTTTTTGACCCACCCACTTCTGCGGTGGCGTGCTGTCACGATACCCCCTTTTCTATCTGTATTTTGCGCACACAAGGTTTGGGGGAAGGGCTGGCAGGCAGTCGCACTGTCTGCCCTCGCCTCTCGATTTGGTACCTAAGAGCAGTGACACGATGTCATGATCTCTGCGGCTTGGATTCAAGATAATCCTCCTTTCTGGTGGCTTGGCTTTTTCTGTTCACTCGACGTGAACAATTTGTGTCTTTTTCTGCTCTGAAGCTTGAAGATGATCCTTTTCGACTGTGGGCACCTTCAGGGGTGCCCATGAGGTCTTTAGCAATACCTTCCAAAAAAAAAATGCCGGCACTCTCAATCTTCTACAGCGCGCACGACTACCAATTTCCTGTGGCCGCGACAAGCCTCCCAATTTTCCCCGCACACACCCGAAACGTTGGAGCATCTCTCGAGCAGCAAAGCATTTTTGAACTGCTGCAATCAGCCACCCAGACAGTTTCGGTTGCAAAGAATTCTCTGGCTCGCTGGCTGAGTGTTTGACATGTGTGGTGGTCTCTTGGGAGTCTCTTTCTTTTTTCCTTGTTCTGTCTTTCGTTCGTTCATTTGTTCATTCGTTCGTTCATTTTTCCATTTGTTCATTCGTTCTTTCGTTGTTGTTTTTTTCATTTTTCTTTCATTTTTTTATTCGATTTTTCTTTCGTTTTTTCTTTCGTTTTTTTTTTTTCTGTCTTTCTTTCTTTCTTCATTCCATCTTCTTTTCGTTTTTCTTTCTTGGAAAATTTTGTCTGGCGCCCCTGTAATTTCTATTATTTTGCGCCACACCCCTCCAACAGCCCATTTACCCTGCCATGCCGCTGGGGCCTCTGAGCTTCCCTGCATGCCCCTGTCAGCAAGGGGCGCAACTTTCCACAGTGCCCTTACTGGACGACCAGTGTCATTTAACCGGTCCCTGTGCGATATGCCCTCGTGAGCTGCGAACATCTTTCCATCATGCCCTCGTGCCAGAAATCTGGAATTGAAGCACGTGGTCAATGCCGCAAAAATTGACCGCGTGCGCGCGCGCGCGCGTGTGTGTGTGCTGTCTCTTATACACATCTCGATGTCTATAAGAGACAGATATATATATATATGGTCAAATAGGGTCATCCCTTTCCCAGATCCAGGG